GAGTTGTATACGGAAGCAGCTCCGGGCGGATGACGTATGAGCGCATGCGCTGGTGAGTCTCGTGAAAACCAACGTTTGTTAACAGGAGCAAAGGAAGCAAAGTTTCCTTACTTTAGCAAAGGAAAACCAGTCTCCTCTTGGCTTATATCGAAATCCTCTGACATTCCTCTTTGTCTATCTATCGATTATCTATCTATCTATCTATCTGTCTGTCTGTCTGTCTGTCTGTCTGTCTGTCTATCTATCTATCTATCTCTCTCTCGCTCTCTGTGTTTAGGTCAGCTCTCTCTGGAGGAGTTTATGGAGGGCGTTCAGGCAGACGAGGTTCTGTTGAAGATGTTGACTCAGAGTTTGGATCTGACTCATATCGTCAAAAATATCTACAGCGATATCAACTCTGTCCAGCAGCGCCACTGATCCCAGACCAGCTGATGATGAAGATGATGATGAAGATGATGATGAAGATGATGGCTGATGTGCTGGTTTGTGCTGGTTCTGGAGAGGGTTGTTTAGCGGCTCGTTTCTCCTGGTCTATTTCTCATCTTAAAAACTGAACTTTACCATCGAGTGAAGAGGTTTAAATCCTCACCGCATCAGATTTGACCAGTATTTATCGTGTTTTACTGTGTTACTCTCAGCTGGACTGAATTTCAAAAGCCAGCAGCTGACTTTTCTCCTGTAATCTCACAGAATAATGTTAGCGACTGAAATTACAGCAAACCCTCTCTAAGTGCACTTATACACTACAACCTTGAATCAAAATACAACACTCTTCAGTCCTGTGATGTGTGTGTATACAAGGGGAATAACGTTATTTATGTAAAAAACAAATAAATGCAGTATTATATTCTGTCGAGTACATTTATAAAGTTACTGTCATTTTACACTTGGATTCCCTTTTGAAAATAAAACATGAAACCTGTGCTTCGTGTGCTTAATAATAACTATAAACAACATCAAAATATGAGACATGATCTATTGAACTGACCGGCAATCAATGCAATTTTGGATTTATGCCCCAAATATTTGTAACAAAATTATAATTTCATATAAAATATGTGTAAAATAAAACTAATAATCAGTTATATGTAAAATAACACTACAATCGGTGTTATTTCAGTAATACTATTACTTATACACTGTTATGGTATTTATTAATGTTTTGAATTAGCTTTTATTATTTAAGATTTTATTTAAGATTTATTTCAATTACAGATTACAATTTTAATTTTGATTTGTGCTTTTGTCAATACCTTTCTATTTCTATATAACTATTTACATTTATTTTATTAGTGCTTCAACTTAAAAATATTTCGGTAACATTCATTTATGTTTTTAAAGTTTTTCATCTAATAATTTTTTTTCCAGCTTTATTTCAATTACAGGTTACGATTTTCATTATTTTTTTAGTTTAATTTGAGTTTCAATTACCAAAAACAACACTGCCATAATGAATTTAGTGTGAGCACCTTCTTACAATAAATAGTTGTTGAAAATTAAAATAAAATAAATTGACGCATTCTGAAAAATGTCTTATTCGTGGAAAAAAAAAAGAGATTTCAGTCTGTGTATAATTAATTTATATAAAACATGTTCTCATTTAATCGACCAAATCTTAAGACAAACTATAAATATAATAATCTTTCATAAGGAATAATGATTGTGAATTATGTTTTCGCGTGTGTTAAATGTGCGCGTGCGTGACGTCACGGAACCGGGCGTGACGTCACCGCCGCACCTGAGTTTCGGCGGAAGGTGAAACTTTCGAGCAGAGACTGAAACACACACGAAACGCGCTTCACACGCCGTTCACACGGACTCACGGCGACCGTACGAGTCCGTTATCTGATTTACGACCGGTTTACGACGACTTCAATCCGGTTTATTCATAAAGCAGCTCGTTTTGGCGGCAAAGGCCTCAGGATTGCTGTTTTTTCCCCCTGTTTTGACGCTCAAACGCTTCCTGAAACCCTCAGGTGAGACTCATTAATATTTAAATCACATTTGTATTTAATTTTACACAGTTTAACCCTCGTTCCTGCAATATAATACACGTAAATATGCTTTACTAACGGAATTTCGGTGTTTTTATCGACGACAGTTTTAATGCGAGAGTATATCAAAGTCACCGGCTGCTTATTTACTCAATTTATTAATCTATATAACGATTATTTCTGATTATAGGTTGAATTAATGATCATATTAAGTATATTAATTATTAAAATCAGCTTTATCTGGCCTGTGTCAAGTTATGAAACTTAAAATCTGGTCAGGGAAAGTGTAGTTTAGGCTGCTGCTAGTAATACTAATACTAACTAATATATGTGTATTGTTGTTAATGTGATAAAAATAGATTAAATATAACATATAATCAAAACATATTCTTATTTTTTTTTTATTAATTATTATAACATTTATGATTTCCTCCTACGTATAGTCATCATGTTAATATAATATTTTTATTGTCATAATACTATTTATTAATTAATATAATATTATAAAATATATTAAAAATAGCAACATATTGCATAATAATAATTTATTTAAAAAACAATTACTGCGTAGTTTCAGTTTAATAATTTTTACCTTAATTTATGTGATTTTTGCTCCTCTACAGAATGTAATTTTAATATATGAATAGTAATAATAATAATAATGATATATTGATCAATTAATATAAAATTACTAATAATATTAAAACATGTATCAAAATAAAAATGTAAAATAAAATATTGTATTAATTAATTAATTTATTAAAAATATTAGTGTTTGTAGCCTGTTTGATTTATTTTTAGCCTCATGTATGTATTTTTTTCCTCCTTTACAGAAGGTCATCATGTTAATGTTTTTATTAATTATTATTATAATAATATTATAATTTTATAGAAATAAAATAATTAAAATATGATAATTTTTCATTAAAAATTAGTAGTGTTTTAGACTCAGTTTGATTATTTTTAGTCTCAGTTATGCGTTTTTCCTCCTCTACAGAAGGACATCATGTTAATATGGTATTTTATTAATTATTATATTAATTGTAAAATATTTGTTAATTAATATAATATTATAATAATTATAAAATATATAAAATAACAAAAAAATAATAAAACATTATTAATTGCTACATTTTTGTTTATTAAATATTAGTGTTTGTAGGCTCAGTTTGATTTCTCACTCTCACTCACACACACAGACACACACACACACACAACTCTGTATAGCTATCTTTGTGAGGACATACATTGACACAATGCAATCTCTAGCTCCTTACCCTAAACCTACCCTTTACCCAACTATAACCTGACCCCAAAAAACCAAGTCTTGACCCTCAAACAGGCCTTTAAAGGGCTCTCAGAAAGTGAGGACCGGCCAAAATGTCCTCACTTTACTAGATTGTCCTCACTCCGATGGTCTAAAACAGAGTTGTGTTAAAACAAAACATTAAAACTTTATTTGCGTAATGTTATGAATTTATTTTTGTTTTAAACATGATTTTATCTTTTATTTTACGCAAAATTATATTAATACAAAATAATCATTTTATTTCCCAAGATGAATGCTGAATTAGGTGTGCATGATATAGCATAGCATTATATCTGTAACTCAGTCTTGTTGTATATTATGCAGTGTGCAAGTCTTTGATTGTGAACACAGCCGTAAACTCTCTGTCTGTCTGTCTCAGGTTCGGTTCCCACGTATGAGACTGACGGCGATGAAGACGACGTTCCCGACACCCCTGAACCTCCTCCTCCATATCCACCACACGGTACTGCGTCACAGGATCCTTTCGGCTTAATCATGTGTGTTTGGCGTTCATGCTGACGCAGTGTTTCACTGTGATGATGATGATGATGATGTTGATGTGCAGGCATGAGCTCGTCTCCGCTGGCTCCGGTCTGGACTCCTCCGGGCTCCGTGTCTCCCATGCAGCCTCCCAGCTGTCCTCCTCCCGCTGCTCCTCCCTCTGTGGAGGTGTGGCCCAAGAAGGAGCCGCAGGATGTGGAGATGCAGCCGCCGCCCATGGAGCTGCAGACGCCCACCCCACTGGAGGCCATGTTCGCCACGCCGGAGACCTGGATCAGCTCCCTGCCCAGTACACACACACACACACACACACATTCACCATTTAATCTTAAATATGAATTTTGGAATATCGGAAGTAAATATGCAAATAATATTTAATAAACTAGATAAAAAAGTTCGTCAAGACAAACTTTAGGTTGGCTTGAGAAAGCCTAGCCTGAAAGTTTAAAGCAGCTGTAAAAGCCTTAAGTTTGAAAGTTTAGATAGATGTTGATAACATGTTTCTAGCATGATTAGCATGTTTTTAACATGATTGGCCTGTTGCTAGCATATTGTTGGCATGATTAGCAAGTAACTAAATAATATTCATGATTAATATGTGAATAAACGATCCATTAAGAAGGTCTTTATCATTTACTAATACATGTTGAATTATATAAATGTGATTAATTTGACACGTTTAATTGATAATTTGGTCTTAAATTGTAATTTTACTAGCTCTATATAGAAACAAATGATATTTACATAATATTAATGAATATGTAAAAAAAAAAGAATCAATTAAGAAGGTCCTTATCATTTACTAATACACATGGAATTATATAAACGCATTAAATATGATTAATATTGATAAATGTAATTGATTATTTGATCTTACATTTGAATTTTTGTAGCTCTGTGAAAACTAATAATATTGTAAAATTTAATAATTAATGATTTGATATAATTCAGCTAGTTTAATTGATAATTTCATCTTAAAAGTAGCTCTATATGGAAAGTATTTAAATAATATTAATTATTAATATGTGAATAAATTATACTAATACATGTTGAATTATATAGTCACATTAAATATGATTAATTTGACAAGTCTGATCATAAATGTGCATTTTTGTCGCTCTGTAACACAAGATCCTGTCATATTTTACCCATAATGCATATTTCTTTATTTATACAGCTGTATATAGAGTAAATAATGCACAAATCTGTACATAAATCTACTGTTCCAGATTCATACATATTATTATTATTATTATTATTATTATTATTATTATTATTATTATTATTATTATTATTATTATTATTATTATTATTATTATTATTATTATTATTATTATTATTATTATTATTATTATTATTATTATTATTATTATTATTATTATTATTATTATTATTATTATTATTATTATTATTTATTGTTAAGTCTTGCTATTTAAATGTTTTTCTGTTCTCATGTCAGATGTGTATGTATGCATGTATGTATGTACCAGAAGCACCTTAAAAAACCACAACAAATTCCTCGTGTGTTTGCGCACACCTGGTGAATAAAGCTAATTCTGATTCTGATTCATTGTACAGAAAAAAGCAGCTTGAACGATCTGCTAAATATCTCCTTTTGTGCAGGAAAACTTGATAAACAGTTTGAAATGACATACTTGGAATTCAAAAAGACTAAGTAAAAGTCAGCGGGATCACCGGGAAATATTAATAAGATGGTCACACTCATCTCTCTCCCAGGACCTAAAGGCCAGAGATCACAAAAGGTTATGAAAGGTGATCTGATTACAATTTCATCCATTAGCCTGCCACGGATTGTGTGTTTCCCTGAGAATAATAATTGCTCATTGACTCTTGTGAATACCTTGTGTAGTACCCTCCCATCAGTGAGATTTCAAACGACAGACCCATTTGCAAGCCATGCGTCTATGTTGTTTACTGAGACAACGCATCCATCATCCATTTTTCACATAAACGGCAAAAATGTTTGTACAGACATAACCTGTTTGCATTAATCATGAGGAGACGCATATGCATGTATTAAGGCTGTGACCGAGTTTATTTTCATGCCAATAATTTGAAAGTAGTGGGTAAGGGTGTAGGTAACAACACTGTATCAAAGTGCCAAAGTGTGAGTGAGTGTGTATGTGCATCCCTGAGGAGGACTCAGTCTGGGAAAAGCCAGTGGTGTGTGAAGCTTTGTTGAGTGGATCGATATCACCCAATCTCCCTATTCTCTCCCAGGACTCCCTAAATCTGTTGCTGGTCCAACAGCAGAAGGTGCAAAAGCTAATTAGTGCAAAGCTGCATTTGGTGGTGAGATAGAGACCATACGGACAGACTGTCGATGCTTATGGGCCGTCTTTAAAAGTGACACTAATCTCTAGCATGATTATACTGTATGGGTTTTTATGTTCCCATCTGACACAAACTGTCATCCTCTGGAATGCATGCAGGCGCTGATCAAGCCAATTATTTGCCATCTCGAATTTGAGCAAGGAAAGCTATTGTCTGCCTCTTTCTCAAGTATTATGTAAATACATATGCATATCTCTTTATTTATACAGTTCTATATAGAGTAAATAATGCACAAATCTGTACATAAATCTACTGTTCCAGATTCATACATATTATTATTATTATTATTATTATTATTATTATTATTTATTGTTAAGTCTTGCTATTTAAATGTTTTTCTGTTCTCATGTCAGATGTGTATGTATGCATGTATGTATGTACCAGAAGCACCTTAAAAAACCACAACAAATTCCTCGTGTGTTTGCGCACACCTGGTGAATAAAGCTAATTCTGATTCTGATAATGCTCTGTGTGTGTTTAGTGACGGATCTGGAGGTGCAGTTCTATTACCGCGGTAAGGAGGTGTGTCCGCCGGTGATCGTCAGTAACCCGCAGGGCTGTCGTCTGTTCTACGGCGATCTGGGGCCCATCGTCAACCAGGAGGAGCTGTTCGGGCCAATCAGTCTGGAGCAGGTGCGCTTCCCCTCCACCGAACACATCACTAACGACAAGCAGCGAGTGTTCACGAGCCGCCTGCTGGACGTCATGGACCGCGGCCTCATCCTGGAGGTGAGCGGACACGACATCTACGCCGTGCGCCTGTGCCAGTGTAAGGTGTACTGGTCCGGCCCGTGTGCACCCAACCCCAACGCTCCCAACCTGATCGAGCGCCAGCACAGGGTCAAGCTCTTCTGCCTCGAGTCTTTCCTCAGCGGTGAGTGAGCGGCTGTCGAGTCGCAGTCTTATGAGATGAGCGAAATAACTCTGCCGGTTTCAGTCGCGCTTTGCCGTACAAATGTAACGATATTGGATTTTTGCCGATATCCGATATGCCGATAATTTTCAACTCATTTTGAAGTATTCAAAGAAAACTAAGTTTCAAATATTGTAGAAACTTAATTTTCTGTAAAGTTGCTTTGCAACTATTTGTATCGTAAAAAGCGCTATACAAATAAACTTTAATTTAATTGAATTTTGGCCGATAGCCAATGCCGATACATAATTATTTTTCATTTTGGTTAGTTTTTAACAAGAACTTATTTGTTAGAATTAAATAAACAATAATAAAGTTATTTTATAATTACAGTACATTGAAAATAACTATAAATAAACTATATATCAATCACTGCATTTTTTTTTTCAGAAAGATGCAGTGGTAACCTTATTTTATGATTTAACATTTGTAGATGGTCTAAAGCAAAAGTGTTGTAAAAATTCTGAAAATATTTTAGAGCTCATGATTTGTTTAAAAAATATAACATATTACACATTCATGAATAAATCAGTATATATAAAGTTATTTAATTTAAGTGTCATGTTTGTGATTTTTTTATTTTATTTGTTAATGTAAGCTATAGCTTCTGATCTTTAAATCAAAACATTCTCATGATTTTATGGCATCAATTACTGCTTTATTTAATCAGAAACACAGTCTAAATATTATTTGTGTATTTTGCATTCATTTTATTAGAAGTAGGCCAACAGCACCCCCTACGGAATTAAAACTCATTACTGAACAGGCTTTAGGACCCGGGGGAAGCTGCCGCTGCTGGTGCTATTACTGTTTACTCTATCACACACCGAACTCATTCTGTACTGCATTCTCAGTTTAAATGCAGTGATCCAAAACAGTGAATCTAAGCACCATTCAGGCCAAACTTTGCTTCAAGAATGAGCCACACTGCTGACGTGATCTAATCACTAGCACACCCTGAGCACATGTGTGTTAATGCATTCCTCTTATCGGCAAGACATATCGGCATAATTTTTCATATCAGGCCGATG